GGGACACTTTCCACTAGACCAGGTTGCTCCAAGCCCCATTCAGCCCAGCCTTGAACACTGCCAGGGATGGGGCAGCCACAGCTTCTCTGGGCAACCTGTGCCAGCGCCTCAGCACCCTCACAGGGAAGAACTTCTACCTAAGATCCCATCCAAATCTCCCCTCTGACAGTTCAAAGCCATTCCCCCTTGTCCTGTCACTACAGGCCCTTGTCAAAAGTCCCTCTCCAGATTTCTTGTTGGCCCTTTTAGGCTCTGGAAGCTGCTCTAAGGTCTCCCCAGAGCCTTCTGTTCTCCAGGCTGAACAAGCCCAGCTCTCTCAGCCTGTCTCCAGAGGAGAGGTGCTCCAGCTCTCAGAGCATCTCTATGGCCTCCTCTGGACTTGCTCAAGCAGGTCCAGGTCTTGTAGTACTTCATTGTAGTACTTTTTATATCCTAGTACTTTCTCCCAGTCCTGCCACCAGAGCTGGTCTCACTGTAAGTGCTGCAAATTCATTAACCCCTCTCGTTCAGCCAGGCATGAGAACAGAACAGACACAGCAGATAGTTGAACCACTTGCCAGAAGTGGGAAGAAAGGAAGGATGTGTCCTGGGTCACAGGGAGAGACTCAAGAAAATAAAATGGTTCTTATCATAAGAGTGCGGCCACATAAAGCTATACCTCAGACTGAGGTGATCAAAGGGCCAAACACTACCATATATGACTGTTTTCAGTTGAGGGTATCTAAATATCTGATAAGCTTTCTGTCCGCATTCCCCCAACCATAAGAATGGTGCAAAACCAACACCTACCTTTTGTTCCCACAACACCACTAGGTGAATCAGGTATTCTGAAAAGCTTTAAGAATCCCTGAGAAAGGAGCTGCTATCACCATGTAACATGCTATTACTGCATCCTAAAAGGTCCAGTCATACCAGAGATCATATTGATAGAGAATAAAGCCCTCGGTCCCTTTGAAAGGATCCAGGAGCAGGGTAGCACAAAATGAAGGGAATAAGAGGAAGGAAACATCACTCTGTGACATTCTCTGCTTGTACTTGTACTTCAATTTCCAGAACAAAAGAAAAACTTGCCACTACAGAATCCTACTTGTTAGCATCAGACATCACTGAAATGTGTAGAAAAGGAAGGGCCCTTCCTGAAACAGTATCTAAACAGGCTCCAGAAGTCTTTTGCAAGTAGGTTGAGGCTGAGGGACTGAAGACACTACCATACATCCTATCAGTAAGGAAACATCTCTGGATGCATTGTCCTGGTGGAAAACTTATCTTCAAAAAGTTGTCAGGAAAATGCTGAAATTAATAAATTCAAGAAACTTCTTTTGCTTTGGAATCTCACCACATGCAAGGTCAGCTCTGAGACCTTTGAGGCTGGGTGCCACTGCAATACCAGAGAGAAATTTTTCCATTGGCATCTTTGTCAATATTCCAGCAAAAAGAGCCTGGAAGAAAAAACAAGCCATGCGAAATCACCAGCTGCTTCACGTGCTGTGGATAGCAGGGGAAACAACCATGAAAAGTTTCATCTCAAGACAAGACCATATGGATATTATCTTCTTCATAGTGTGAAAAAAGTGCAGTGTTATACAACAGGAAGGAAATGGGGACCTTCCTGTGGCTGTTGTCCCATCTCATGGCTATTTCATCCACATTAAAACATTAACCCATGTTGGCTACATCGGCTTGTTTGTCTTAAGTGAGACAGATGTAAGTACTTTCAAGATGCTGCTTTAAAAAACAACCAAAAAAACACCCAACACATAAAAAAATACTCCACAAAAAAACCCAGAACCACTAAAACCCCCTAACGTGTATCCAGAGTTCAGTAGTTCAGTCATGGCATAAGGAGGAATGGCCATCCAATTGACCAGTGGTAAGTTCTGTTAGTAGGAATAACTGTTAAATATTGTATAGGGCATACAAGGGAAAAACAATTAATGGTTGTGCTTGTAATTAAGGTATATTGGCCCTGCTAGCAGGTGGCTGGTTTTTTCAGAATTCAAACCTAAAAATATTTAGTAAGGCCTTATTCCAAAAATAATGTAGATTTTAGGTTCCTTTTATATTAGTTACACAACAAAACTGGAGCATTTTATGAGCTACACAGGGGAGGAAACTGTACTATTTGAACCACCCACCCCAGTCACAAGACTTTGACCTTTAGTAGCTCTAGCATAGTGTAAAAGGAATCCTAACCATGTGGTACAGTCAAGCTGTAAACCAATTTCAATAGTATTATCCAATCTTAGGAGTTTCAGCAGAGGAACACCAGCTGACTTGAACAGTCCTGTGGTCAGAGACCGCTCTAGAACTGCTATTCTGCACATAGGTGACCATGTGGAGACAGGAAACCAAAGCACTTCTGCATGCAACCTTCTGAACCTACTCACAAATAGTGTACAAATGACTCATTAACTGCAGCTGAAAAGCTGTGGATGCCAATAGGTAAAAAGCAGCTCGCTCTAGCAATACTGCAGACAGCTTTGGTCTTTGCTGATTCATTTCATGATGCTGATGCCCCCCCAGA